AGGGAGAGAAACTATGGAAGGGGCTTCAGCTTGAGGAGCTGATGCAGGCACAGCTTTGATGGAGAGGATCAGACTGGTCCTTCAGCAAAAGGAAAGGAAGGGCTTGCAGGGCTTGGGGTGGGTTAGGGTCTGGCTGATCATGATCTCATTTCTGGTTTTACATGATGGCTCTGGGAGAGCCGAGATGGCTCCCTATCCCTTAATCTGGTCATGAGGTGACTGTCTCCACTGGGGCCAGTCTCAGTTTTGTGATGGCTCTGCTAGAATCCACAGTGACCATGGGCTTAGAGTAATGACTGGAGATACCTGGGCCTTCATTGGTAATTGAATGTCCCTGAAAATCTCTTATTTCGGTGTCCTTGCTCTCAAAGGGAGCTGAGATTAAATTTAGGTTTAAATTTAGGGTTAATTAACCTTATAGAGTCACCTTTGAGACAGACACTTTCTAAAGGATTATCATGCTTTTTATTCAGACCCCAAGTGTTAAGGTAATAGAGGAGACAGATGCAAAATGAAAGTCAAGCTTTGTTCTGCTTTTAGTTATCTATTGGGCATTTGTAGGCCCAAAGTGAAGTTACCGGTTTTTAGCAAAAAACACATATAAGCCCCTGACTCCCTCAGAAGAAAACCTAAATCATGTTTTCAAGAGTAACTGGTTAAAAGCCCAGAATTTGTCTTCTGTGCCTGGTTTCTCTGTCTATGTCACTGCTACATTTACCACTCAAGATTTAAGTCAATGAAAGGAAGAAAACAAGCAGAGAGAAAGAGAGAGACACATAGATAGACAAAGGTCCACAGGACAGAAACAAATCTAAGATGTAATTAATAAACGGCAAACATTTCTTTTATTTTTATTTTTATTCTTTTTGGTTTTTCTCCGGTACCGGGAACCGAACTCATGACCTTGCACTTGCCAGGCAGGCGCTTTTGCTGCTGAGCTAAATCCCCAGCCCCAATGGCAAACATTTCTTACTGTTTTTGTTTTGTTTTGGTTTTCGTTTTTTTGAGACAGGCTGGCTGTGAACTCACGGCAATCCTCATGCCTCAGCAGTTTGCTACTGTGCCTAGCTAAAGTATTTTCTACTAATTTTTGTTTTAAAGGTACCTTTTGCTTTTATAAAAACAATGTACACTTGCAAAAATTAAAAAGTTGGATAGCACTAAAAGAGATGCTGAAATATAGCAGTTCCCTGTCCCATCCTATCCCATCTCTTCCCCAGAGGTACCCAGAACAAGTTCCCATGGTTTTAACCCATTCCTCCCCATGTTCTGCTTATGCTGCTCTTTTATCGATGTCAGTTTTACGTATTACCTGTTGTTATGCTTTAAATCTAACATGTCCCCCCAAAGTCTCATGTATTCAGAACTGGGATTTTTGGAAGACGACTGGATCGTGGATGCATGGATCTCTCCACTGATCTCTCCACAGCGTTCCTCACTGAATACGCTTGAATTAGAAGGTAGGCCCACTGAAGGACGTGAGTCACTGGGGGTGTCACCAGGCAGGGTGTATTCTTGTTCTTGGCCCCCCTCTCTCTGCTTTTGACCATTAAGGTGAGCAGCTTTCCTCTGCCGTGCTCCTCCACCATGATGTCTACCTCGGAGCCAGCTCTCCATGGCCCCGTGCGTGCTGAGCAGGGGCTGTGCCCCTGAGCTACACCCTAAGAGATGAAGATTTGTTTCTTTTCCCCGCAGTTACTTCCATCCTTTTTCCTTCTGCTGTCTCCCCAGCTCTGCTTATTACAGTCTTTGGTTAAATCAGCATTCTGTTTACATTATCATGGCTATGCAAAATTTTTGGCATTGCATTTATTTTTTTACAGCTTAGGTGCGGTGTTTTTTGATAGGCAATAATGTGCCTCAGGTTTTTGTTTACTCAGATTTGTGACAGATTCTCATGGCCCTCCCTCAACTCCCAATAGCATTCCCCACCTTGGCACACTTACTGGGTGACCCCTGGAACCCATCCTTCTCCTGACGTGCTTTGTTCTTCAGATCAGAGACCTGCTGCCCAGCTGGGCATTCCTTAGCCTTCTCCTGGACGCATTTTTTTTTTCTTTATACTGGGGATTGAACCCTGGGCCTCGTGCAGTAGCACTGAAGTATGTGCTGTAGCACTGAGCTGCACCCCCAGTCCCCTGGATGTGTTTTCTCATTCTTAGATTATTCTCCTTTAGATGGAAGGCTTCCTGGAAAAGGGAGCATGAGAGGCAAATGACTTGGGATCTCCCTTGTCAGCAAATATCTTTTCATTTTCCCATTGCTTACTTTTTATTTGTTTTGTTTTTTTGAGATGGGGTCTTACCATGTAGTCCAAACTGGCTTTGAAGTCATGATCTTCCTGCCTCAGCCTTCCAAGTGCTGGGATTACAGACATGTGCCACCACACCTGGCTGTCTCCCATTCCTTGTGATAAATGGTTTAGGTTTACTGTAGACAATTTTCACTCCATTATATTTCTACTTCCAGGGTTGCAGCTGGTAAATCTGGTCCATCCTGATTCCTGGCTTTGTGTATGTGTGTGTGTAGTGGGGGTACTTGTGTTAAACCCAAGGACTCATACATGCTAGGGAAGTGCTCTACCACTAAGCTATCTCCCCAGCCCTTTTTATTTTATTTGAGATAGGGTTTTTGTTTTAGTTTTTTGTTGAGATAGGGCTTTACCAAGGTGCCCAGGTTGTTCATAAACTTTCTTTTTTGGTACCAGGAATCGAACTTAGGACCTTGCACTTGCCAGGCAGGGCCTGTGCTGCTGAGCTATATTCCTGGCCCTGTCCATAAACTTTTGATCCTCTTGCCTCAGCCTCCTCAGTAGCTGGAATTACAAGTGTCTGGATTCTTTTAAGGTCTTTTCTTTATCCCTGGTATGGTGACATTTCATGATAATGATGGGGGCTGGGGATTTAGCTCAGCGGCAAAGTGCCTGCCTGGCAAGCGCAAGGTCGTGAGTTTGGTTCCCAGTACCGGAGAAAAACCCAACAACAACAACAAAAAAAATCATGATAATGATGGACCTTGAAATGTAAATCTTATTGTCTCTCACTAAAAATTTTATTAGATTTTAAAAGTTTTCTTCCTTAATTTTTTTTTTTTTATTTTATTTTTTTTTGGTTTTTCTCTGGTACCGGGAACCGAACTCACGACCTTGCGCTTGCCAGGCAGGCGCTTTTGCCACTGAGCTAAATCCCCAGCCCCCTTCTTCCTTAATTTATGAATTCTTCCTGCCCTCTCATCCACCCCCACCCCCACCCCCACACAAGCATACCCAGGTATCTGATGTCTAAGAAATTCTGTAAATGTCTGGAGATCCTGGCTGTCTTGTCCTATAAAAGGATTTCTTCCAGGTGTGGTGGTGCAAGCCTGTAATCCCAGCACTTGGGAGGCTGAGGCAGGAGAATCACTACGATTTCAAGGCCAGCCTGGGCTACATGATGAGTTTAAAGCCAGCCTGAACTGCATAGTGAAACCCTGTCTCAAAAAAAAAAAAAAGATGGGTGGTCAGTGTGCTTAGGTGGACTCTCTGTGCCAGGGGGCTGGTCCTAAATTGGCTCTTTCCTTGGGGGCTCCAAGTGTCTGTATGTAGAGGCCTTTTCCTTGAGCCTATGCAGCTTGTGTAGAAAAGGGCTCTACTGTCTCCATCCTGGGTCTGAGGGTGGCCTGGGAGTTTACCTCTTAGCTTCATCTTTTCCCACCTGCCCAATGCCTGGTGTGCAGATCCAGGTTCCCCAGAGAGTAAACTCCAGGGGTCTCACAGGAGTCTGTGCCCACCCGGGGCTGCAGCTGGCAGCCTGCTGGTCCTCACAGGCTCCAGCCTCTAGCTCAGGGGTTCCCTGGCAGTGCGGCCCTGCCCCGCCCGCAGGCCCCGCCTCGCTTCCTCCGCGCTGGGTGTGACTCACCGCTCCTTCCTGCCTTCCACCTCCCTCAACTGCTGACATCCTTCATCTGCTGCCACCTCTCCTCCTGCTCTCAGATACCTTGTCGCTTCTACCTCTTTCTGCTCCTTTAGTCTCATTTTTAGCGGGGTTTCGGAAGGAGGAGTTAGTTTTAGTTTTGATAGCCATAAGTCAGAAGGTTCCAAGAGGTCAAGGGCAGATCTAGCAGGCCAGAGAGTTCTTCACTTTGGCCGGGCAGAGGACAGGGCCGCTTTTTAGAACTCCAACCCTGAGGACCTGGGAGGTAGCTCAGCGGCACAGCGCCTGCCTGGCAGGAGCAAGGCCCTGAGTTCGAATCCCAGTACAAAGAAAAGGGTTGGGGGACTTCAACCTTGGACCCCACCCTTGGAAACTGTCTCAGGTAGCGTGTGGCGGGAAGCAGGATCTGTTCTGGGTCTGCCCCCTCTCAGGCCCGGGGCTGTGGATGGCGAGGAGGGAGCAGATGAGAGGAGGGCAGTCCCGGCGTGGGGCCCGGGGGTCCCAGAGGAAGGAAGAATGGGGAAAACCATCGAGCGGGGCCTTGGAGCTGCTTGGAAACTGGTGTTCTCCCCGCAGAACACAGGGGAGAGTGCAGTGTGGGAGAAGATGCGCACAGGAAGGCTCGAGTGCCCCAGGGGCCTGGGGCTTGGGGCATGGTGAATGTGTGAGCATCTGGCCTCGAGTGCAGGGAGCTGAGAGGCCAGCGTGGCTCAAATCGGTCAGGCCCGGCACACACGGGCACGTGGTGGAATCCCCCGGACCCACACGGCCCCCTTCTGAGAGAGGCCCCACGGCTGGGGTTCCGGAGGGCAGGCTTTGCGGTCCGGCTGCGCTGGATGGACATCCAGCCTGGCCTGTGCGCCTCTGGCCGACCTCTTGTGCCTGTGAGCAGCGGCCTCTGTTCTGTGAGCAGCTGGCTCCGTGTGGCCCGTGTGACCTGAGGAGGCGCTGCGCACAGAGGCTGGGCGCTGTGCCTGGGCCCACACCCCCGGAGGGCAGTACTAGGAGCAGCTCTGAAAACAACGCCACTGCCTGGCAGAAGCTGGGGAGCCTTGCTTCACTCGGTGTTCGGAGAGGGGTCCGCAGGAAGGTGCAGACCCTTTCGTTTGTTGCTGCCTGTTCTGTGTGGCTCTCTGAGTGTGTGCTTGGTGACTCCTTTGCCTTTAATTTCTAGGACTTGTAGAGAAACGACAGTCCCTTGCTTCTGCATTTAATTGGAGAGGAGCACAGAGACCCGAGATTATAATTATGACGTCTTAAATGTCAAGCTCTTCAAAAGTCTGCCGTGCCCTCGCTGTCACCCCACACAGCTCTGGGAACCAGAGCCCTGCAGCGCCCTCCCCTTGCTCCCTGAGCAGGCCCTGGGTCTCTCAGCCAGGCTTCACCTGGGAAATCTGAGTGACAGTGACGTGCAGGCAGCTGGAAGACGCACAGTAAACCGAGGAGCCTGTGATGAGCTCAGAAGAGGTGAGTTGATGATCTGCTATTTATAGCCCCACTAAGAGGCTCTGGCCGCCAGCTCCATGGGAGGCTGGGTGGAAATGATGCCTTCGCAGAGCTGAAAGCACGAAATGAAATTGGTGATTCATGAGCAGCCGCCACTTGAAATGCAAACACTCCTGTGTCCCCAGCCCCACCGGCCTCTGGCGCCCATCTGGAGGCGCGTTGAGCAAAGTTCCCAGGCTGCTGCGTCGTCCTTGCTGCAGTCCGCTTGTATTTGGGCAGAAGATGAGGACAGGCAGGTTCTGCCCAACAAGGGGCCTGCGACAAGCAGCAGCTCTCTCAGCAGCGTCTGACAGCCTCAGCCACAGCTCCCCCAAACCCAGGCTAGAACCTGGGCCAGACTAAGGGCAAGCGGGCAGGCGGGGGGGAGGGGATGCAGAGAGAAAGGACAGTTCCCGTTCCCGCCCTCCGTCTCCATGGGCAACACTGGCCGCAGAGCCGCTTCCTGGTGACACTTGCTCTTGCTGAACATGCAAACGTGTGCAGAGAGGAAACCCATGCCACTCTCCAATTGTGTGTTTCTCAGTGTGACAGCCTAGCACCTGTCACCTGAAATAGCTGTTGTTTATTTCCGTGGTGAGATCCTGGCTCCCAGGCCAAAGTCTTTTTGGAGGCCTCACTCAGCTCACCCTCAGTGGGACTGCACCAGAGCACTCCCTCTCCTGCAGCCAAGACTGCACTTAAGGACAACACACTGACGGAGCTCACAAACCAGGTTGTCCAGCCCACGCCGGCCCTGCACCTGCTTGCCAGCTGTGTGGCTTCAAATTGCTCTCTGAGACTCTGAGTTTTCTTTCTTTCTTTCTTTTCTTTCTTTCTTCTTTTCTTTTCTTTTCTTTTCTTTTCGAGGCAGGGTCTTGCTATGTGGTTCAGGCTGGCCTTAAACTCACTTTGTAGCCCAGGTTGATCTCCGTCTCACAGCAATCCTCCTGCCTCAGCCTGCTGAGTGCTGGGATTACAGGCATGCACCACCATGCCCAGCTAGGACTCAGTTTTCTTAGCAGTAAATTGGGGATAATAACGGAAGTTACCTCACTAGACTGGGGTGCACAGTAAAAGATGTAACATATGTCAGGCAGAAATGTCTGGCATGTAAAGAGCTCAATAATGAGTATCAGTAGAGACTCCCTGCGTGTCACCAGCACACCAGGTGTGGCGGGCTGTGTCCTGGGCACTTTGCTTAACCTTCCCTGCCTTTGCCTAGCAACCATGTGCTTGCCCTCAGGATGGGAGCCTTGCCTGGTCCTGGGGTAGCCTCCCCTGTCCAGTGGAGATTTCACTGAGATCTCAGGTGTTCACCTGAGGCTTGCAGGCAGCCGCCTGCCCACCCAGGGGCCCTGGCGTCTGGCAGCAGGTGCCCACCTTGCCTACCAGCTGGGCATCCAACACGAACTGCTGACTCATGGGCACAGCGAGGCCCGGGCTGTGTACACTCCCTCATCTCCAGCTGTCAGCCAAAGCATAATTGCAGTTGTCACTTTGGCAGTGAGATGCTGTGATGGGTCCTGATACAACTGCCTCTGCCCCACTACGGCTTCTGAACTGGGGAGGCGGGGGAGTCGGCAGCTCCTCCATGAAGAGGCCCAGTCTGGAGCGTGGTCTGCGTGACGTTCACCCAGGTACACACCCGGGGGCTCTGTGAGTGCCAGGGTCGGACCCCACGTTACAGCGAGCGCGGCACTGCCTGCATGTGCGTCCACAGCACAGCAGCCCGCTGCAGTCCGTTAACAAGAGAGGCTGGCACCAAGACCAGGCGTTGTTGGCAGCTCTGAGGAATCAGAAAATAGGCTTAGATTATGCACAAGTTGGGCTGCAGGATGGGTGGGGTGAGAGGGGAGTTAGACATCGGTGGAGGGAAATGGTCCCAGAGACACAGCCAGGACCATGCTGAAAAGCAAGGAGCTGAAAGCCCGGGCTGCAGAGCATGGGCTGCATGCGGGAAGTCACGGGGAGCCCTTGAAGGCCAGCTGCAGGGAGAGTGCCGTGCTCAGGTGGCATGGGTGGAGGTCAGGGCTTCCCCTTGGCAAGGAATTCATGAATGCAGCAGCCGCGTGCAAATGTGCAAAAGTGGGGGAACTGCACACACTCGGCCAAAGATGGCGGAGGCTCTTGGGGGTGAGAGATGGCCCCACTGTGTGCAGGAGTAGCCCACCTCCCCGGTACTCCCCGCTAAGAAAACCGCAGACAAACAGCCGAGCTTGCTTGCTAGAGGATTGTTAGAAGGACGGTTCTACCCGAGCACACGGAAGTCAGTGCCGTTTCACAGGTGGGTTAGCAAGGAGGTGAAGTGCTGGGAGCCATTCCCAGTGGCCGACCGGCCCAGGAGCACGGACACCGGAGCATATCGGGACCATCGTGTGAGTGAGGGAGAAACACGATTCAGTCAACAAATATTTTATGTACCTCCTTGGAGTGCACTGTTGTGCAAGAAGTGGTTTGGCAGGGATTCTGCCTTTCAGCTGCAAGCCATCGAGGGCAGGATGGCTCTCAGGCTGCCGGGGAGGAGAGGCGGGAGAGGCTCAGGCACGACCTTCTGCGGAGTCGGGCTGCTGGGGGCAGGCCCGGGACAGTGAGGAAGCGCTGTCACCCGTGCAGCTGTCCAGGCAAGAGGAGGGTCGTGGGTGCCTGGAATGCCCTGCCTGTGGGTGAACTCGAACCTCTTCCCTGAGGGCGGGCAGCACGTTAGGACGGAGTCACAGCCTTGTGAGAGCCACTTCTGGCTGCCCATGTCTGGTTTGCAGCAATGTGCCAAGACAGGGGCTTGTCGATTTGGTTTGCTCTTTCCTTTAAAATTTATAAAATGTAGGGGGCTGGGGATTTAGCTCAGCGGCACAGCGCCTGCCTGGCAAGCACAAGGTCATAAGTTTGATTCCCGGTACCGGAAGAAAACAACACCAACAACAAAAAAATTTATAAAATGTAATGATAACATGTAGCCAAGCTTGGTGCCCCATGCCTGTAATCCAAGCATCTTTTCTTTTTTCTTTCTTTCTCTTTCTTTCTTCTTGTTTTTTCTTTCCTTCTTGTTCCAGGGATTGAACCTAGGGCCTTGTACATGCTTAGCATTTGCTCTACCACTGAGCTACACCCCCATGTCGAGTTTTTTGTTTTGCTTTGTTTTGGGTTTTTGTTGTTGTTGTTGTTGTTTTTGGTCTTTTTTGAGACAGGGTGTTGCTATGTAGTTCAGGCTGGGCTTGAGCTCACTTTGTAGCCCAGCCTGGTCTTGGACTCACAACAATCCTCCTGCCTCAGCCTCCCAAGTGCTGGGATTACAGGCGTGCATCACCACGCCCAGTTCTCATGTCAAATTTTTACAACTGAATTTCTATCTTTAGAAAATTGAGAAATGGTCTAGCCAAAGGTAATGAAAGGCAGAGATGACCCAGATTATTAGTAACTTATTCAGGACACTCCCTACATTTCAACCTGTCCCATGAGTTCTCTCTAACTTGGCCCTGGCTCCCTGCCTCCACACCTCCCAGGCTCCCGCTCTGCCCATCCCCACCCCACCTGGTTTGCACCTGCTGACCCCATCACCCCGGCCCTGGTGATGGCTCCAGGCTGAAAACCTAAGCCAGGAGAACCAACTCATCCCCAAGGCGGAGCCAAGCAAGTGCTGGGAGGCTTTGGCTTCCTGCTTGTCCTGTGGGGAGTGTGGGGGCTGAGTCAGGCTGACTCAGACTGGCGGTCGGGAGAGGTCTTGTAAAAGCTGGCCACGGGCTTCGCGGAAAAGGAGCAGATAAGAAGCGCAAAGAGAAAGCCCTGTGGGCCCGAGAGAAAGACAGGGACCCTGTGCAGTGAGGCCCCCAGCTCCTAGGTGACTTCCTGCATTTGGAGTCCCGTTCTTGCTGCAGCCAGCTTGGTGGCTGTCTTTTTTTTTTTTTTTTTTGAGA